CCCCAAATATTAGGGCTATAGTAAAGAAACAATAATCCAAAATACTAATTTAGAAAGAACCTATGATAATAACAGTCGACAAAGAGGTAAATAAAATACTGTGTGGAGCCCTGGAGATGTTCCTGTTTCTGTGGAGACTTGTTACCATTTTCATCACTGAAAACGCAGCAGAAATTTGCAGCCACTCATATACACAAAGCTAGGTTTTTCCTTGCAAATCTGTAGGGAAACAGGCTGGCCAAAGAATGGGCTGAAGAGGAAACAGGAGATGGCGTGCTTGTAAGGAAGAGTAAAAAGTGCTCTTTAAGTTTTGTGTCATAAAGGACAAAAGAAAGAACCCAAACCCAAAGATGCCAGGCATGAGCAATAAACAAACACAGACAGTATCTGGGGTAGCAAAAAATATCCTCGTTTATCCAGTACTCCTGACAACATTTCTCTGGATCCCAGAGGTTTGCTGGAGTTGCTGCCTGCTTGTTCTGCCTGGATGGCTGCTGAAAGACTTTCAGTGTTGCAATTCTTTGTTTATCAAAAACCATGCTCCTTGCTGGTAACATTTTACGACTCTTATCAGGCTGTTCAATCCAGCTGCAACTGTCCAAGTCTTGTCTTCTCTAAACCAGAGGAGGTCAGAAAGGAAAAGAAAGAACACTCTATGTATCCTTGCAGTTAGCCAGTTTACCAACTATAATCATTAAGCGGGGATTCAGTTTTATGAACCTGTAGGTTTAACAAATCCCTCAGCATTTCAGCACAGCAGGAAGGCAGTGATTTGAATACAGTTTATTTCTCCTGAGTTTTTAAAATCACCAATACTCTGGATTCCTAGGGTGGTTTTTGGTGTGGGTTTGAACTGCAAGCTTCTTTTGGATTAAGAATTTTCAGTTACATCCAATGAGCAATTAAAAATAGAAGTTATAGAAATACAGGTTTCTACATCTTGAAAACAACTGCCTTGGGGTATTACAGAGTCTCTCCTAGTCAATATGCTTTCAAATTTCAAAATAAAACCTTCCCCAAAGCAACACTTATTACTTCAGATGTTCTTTAAGAATCATGCAGACTAGCCAAGTACCAAGAAACAACACCTAAATCACCTCTACTCAAAAAAGTATTTAATCATGTGTGACTGAATCCCTTCACCTTCCTTAGATTTAATGCTTTAGTGCTTTCTCGGTTACCACATTTTCCTAAATCTTGTCTCAGCTATTTCAATACATTTCTTAAGCAAATCTTTGAGAAACATCTACAACTACTATTCCAAATAATTTAAGCAAGAAATTATTCATTTGCAGTTCAATCAGCAAATTGGCCATGCTTGGGAACTGAGTTTCCTTTTATGCTCACAGTGAGCCACATGTATTTATCCTATGACACGCTGCTTTGAAAGTACTGCAAGATCCACCACTGTCGTTAAATTCTTCAGAGCGAGATCACACACTTTACAATGACAACCTAAATTGAAACCACCTTGCAGGGGAAGATGTTTTCAGATCTGGAGGCAGATCCAGATTTCTCTCAAGCAGATGTAAACCCATGGTTCAGACCCAATCACTGCATGCAGGCAGCTGTAAGGCAATGCTTCCAAAACTGATCAGTGCAGTGACACCACACACACATCTTTTTCTAATTCTCAAGATAAGCAAGTAAATAACCTTCAGCATGAAACTAGTCAGGTTTCTCTATTATTTTATTTACTCCATCTAGAAAACCAAGCCAGAAAGCTATAGACCTCCAGTCTAATCTTACTATTTCTTTTGAGTGCCACAGCAGTACTTCTGTTTTCAGCTTCAGATGTAACAGTTTTTAGCTGTTTGGCATTACCAACTTTGTCAACTTCATTATTTGTCCTGGGAGATGGCCACCTGCTTTTATACCTTCAGTCAACACCCATGCAAATAAAACAAGTTTTTATTTTAAACAATGTCACACATTTGCACACACCAAGAATTCAAGGCTTTGCCTTCTTTTTTATCCCAACTTCTTCACACTGAATTCCTGTTCAGCTTCTGTCCAAGTCCTGAGCTTCAGTGATGCTTCAGTACCCTAAAACATTTCTGCACACACATCAAGTTTTTCAATTAGGTGAAAAACTGCACTTTTGAAATAGGCAGTCCTCCAGCTCAAAGGTGTTGAAGGAAAAGCAAGATCTGGAGTTTCACTGCCATTCTCAAGATACAACTTGACAGAAATGACATATGCAGGACACTGCAAAACATGCCCAGTAGATGTTTTTTGCACATACACATCTGAATTTCCAAGCTACTGCCTAATCGTATGCTCATTTCCGGGTGTCCTTCTCCTTCTGCACCTTTTCTTTATTCTTTCAAACCAGTTCAGGCTGAAAATGTATGTTGCCTTCAAGCTTTCAGGAGAGCTTTATGCAGTTCTGTTTCAAAAGACCTCCACTTGAACTTACAGACTCCTGATAAGCTAAAAGCCCAGACATCTGTCTGTTCCCTTTTGGGTGGACATCCCAGCCTGGAGCCACAGAGAAATTATGTGGTTCCTCACCTGAACTCCAGACAAGATGTCACCTGTGGAGCAGCAAGTCCCATTCAACAGCAGTAGGAACTGGTTTGCAAGAGACAGCTCAGAGTGGGCAGCAGCTCATCCCACATGAAACCCAGGTAACAATACCTAGGCTTCATGCTATCTCAGCACTTCATCATCCCAGCACCATGAAATACATGACCTTCCAGAGATATAAGAACATAAGGCCCTTTCACTAATCCTCTTGGCCTCTCCACTACACGTGAGCACGTGCTGTGTGGATAACCCCCACCAGGCATGGAAATGAGTCCCCCTGTGCTCATACGTACAGGGGCTCCATACATGTCCACGAGTCCCCACACTTAAGCACTCCAGTGGGATATAGATGAGGACAGTGAAAACAGACTTGTGTAGATCTCAAAGGGACTGTGGGATGGATAGGGGGGCTAGGAAATATTTTCTTCTGGCTGTGGATCTTAGCTAAGCGCTCAGAATTGCCTCTGATGTTCAGGAACATGCTTAGCACAAAAATTACAGGAATTATTTAGAACTTAAATTAAAATGTATTGAAGCATAAGGAAATGCTTGAAAAATGCATTTTCCAACCATTTATTAAGCATTAAATTTCACTGAACTTGAAAGATCATTTTTTTCATTAGAGATGCTCAGGGCAACTTAAGAAATGTCTGCAAAGTCATTCAACTTGAGGACGAAGCAAGCAGCTTTCCTTGTTGACACAAGCACGAAAGAGATAAAGTGACAAGGAGAAAGAACACAACAGCCCCAGCTGTCAGGCCTATGGACAGTGCACAGCACCAGAAAGGTCACTAACACACTGTAAATCCATTACAGCATTTCCTGACAATCTTGTCCTACAGAAGCTCTTGCACAAAAACTTTTGCCTTCAGGGCCAGCAGATCCTTCAGCAACCTCCCAGATGATGCTGGACTCATTTGCTGCCATGTACCTTCTTCCCTCCCTCCCCCCTCCATCTGGCCACAGAAAAAGTCTGGAAAAAAACAAATCCAAACCATGCTTTCTGTGCAACTAGAATAAGGAAGTGTTTCAACTCCAACGTTTACCTGAGATGTGTTCACTTGACATGTGAATGTCTCCTGCTGTACTCATGCGTGTCTCACGCCAGCAGGCCACATTGCCTGGGGGCAGTTTAGCTGTGGATGGTGGGTAGAGCCCAGTTCCATGACTGGGAGAAAGCGACATCCTCCACAATGTGGCATTGCTGTGAAAAAATCCAGGGAACACAGAGGCTTGGACCAGTTTACACAGTAGACTGGTGCCTGGAGCTTTTGATATTGGGACACCTACAGAAGAGCTCAAATCATGTATGAATTGTTTGGTTTTGGTTTAGCCCTGTTGTGAATGTAACAAAACCAGTGCAACGTCAGCCATCTCTACTCCAGAAAAGCATTTGCAATATTAGAAAGGTTGGCTGCCCAGGGCTCCAACAATAATAATGTGACTGAAAAGGGGGGCTCAAGGGGAAGGAGAAGCCAGCATGCCAGTCTGACCAATACATGCTTATGTCAAGGCCAATAATCCCTCACTTCCATAAGCAAAACATTTACTTAAAACTTTCAAGTAATTTGATTAAAACAGAAAAGGAAAAAATAAAGTTGTGTGGCTCAGTAGTCATCAGCTATAAGTCTGTATTCCAAGGTAATTAAAATACAAACAGCCTTTTACTATTTACCACAACCCACAGTTAACACTTTGCCCTAAAATGCTGCCAGTTGAATTTCAGCCACCCCCTCATAAAATACAGATCAATTCTGCCAAACTCCCTTCCATACTCTTCATTTGATGGCAAAGAAACAGAGGTACCATAATTCACTTGATACCATTCTTTTCCTGCTAATGTTTTATTCAGACTGAGTTTCATTATTAAAGATGAAACTTTGTACTCATGATTGCTCCATGTTTACAAAACATCCAGGCTCCTTTACATCTTGGTTAAGCACGAACAATTACTGAACACACAATTTCCTAAAAAAATCCCGCATACTAAAATAGCATATTTTGAATTTTTAAAATTCACTAAACAAAATTTCACAGAGTGAACCCTAAAGTCTGTTTGCCAAGAAAGCACAAGCCGAAAATGGAAGCTGGGATCCTCCAAGAAAAATAATGAAGTTGGACCCCAACACACACATCCTTCCCATTAAATAAGCAAATAAATACACATTCATACAGAGTAATTTGCTCTAAAAATGCAGGTGCCTGAGTAATTACCCACAATTTTTAGCATAAATTTTGGTTGCTCAAACAGTACTGTGTCACAGTAAATTTCCTTTTTTTTTTTTTTGGTGGAACTGGGCAGTGATTTTTTACTGGATGCCAAAGAACAAAAACTCAAAAACTAGCCCAGAACCTGATGATTCTGACACAAGTCCAAATGTGTTTCTCTACAGAGAGAAAAATTACAAAGACAAGGCTGGTTTTAAGAACTAACAAACAACAACAACAAAAAGTTAGAGGTGTATATAGCAGTATCACTTTTTAATGCCAGGTATTGGACCAAGGAATGTGACAGACTGCACTGCATTTTTAAAGTAGTATGACTATCAACATACTTGAGAAACATTTTAACACCGTACATTACAACAAACTACTTAGTTCACTTCTACACAAGTCAGCAAAAAAGCTAGGTGATCCAACGGGATATGGCAGCTGCAAATTTAAAATGATAGTCACAGTCTAAAGCCAAAACAAAAACATCTCCAGAACTCCTATTTATAAAATGGAATGAACGTACACACCGTGCGTGCACACGCAGGCAAAAATCTTGAGGTTTTACTTATTGCTCTTACACAAGGCTGTGAGCAGGCAAATGTCTAGATCAGAAATTAGGTCAAACATGCATCTCAGCAGGCACAAAAAGTACAGGAAATTCATATTAATGAAACAATGTACTGTGTTATGTAATATAGGATGGTATTCTGCTAATATAATACTTACGTCATTAATACCGGATAAACTCCAGGTCTGCCTGTTGCATAATGTGTTATGCAGTGTGGTATTTTAACCTAATTTCTGATTTCTTTTTCATACTGCACCCTCTATGTAGGGATGAAGAGGGTGGTTTTCAAGATACCCGTTCTTTGCAACATCAGAGAAACCTTGGCTTCAAGAGCTTCAGGCAGGCAGGTACAGCTGGAAGGAGATCAACGTTATCTCCAGGACCTGCTCTTTGACTGCCTCGTGTTTTGGTGCAGTCATTGACAACTCGGATAAACAAATGCAGAAGCTGGTGCAAAATGCATCAGCACTGTTCTCAGAGCATCTTCCAGCTATGCTATATGCTCCTGGTACACCCAGCAATTGCTACAGGGAATAAGGCAGTAGAGGGTCAAGTCCTGTACCTGGTCACTTCCTCAAGAGTCTTATAAAGGCATTATTTTTTTGTGAACTGGCTTTCCTTTACATAATAAGCAGCACGGCATAGATGTCATTAGAAATCTGGTTACCTGCTGGCAACAAAAGACTAGCACGTTCAACAAGACACGTTTTGGAATACCTGCTATTCCCTACTGCAAACAAATTAAACAATGCTGTGGAGAGGTGTCTATGTAATTACAACACTCATAAGCCAGGTTCAAGGCATACTGCACATGGGCCTTGCTTGAAAAAGGCATTGAACGTGTTATCTGAGGATTTTTTTTTTTTAATGTGCTATGCATACATGACAGTAGATAAAAATCAGCACAATGGTTTCTCTGCATACATGACCCAACACACACTGTAACAATTAAGCACCGTATATGCTATTCTTCAGTTAACAAGAATCAAGGAATAACATGTGGTTTGGGGAACAGAGAGGGGAAGAAATCCAGCATGAAGGCAGAGGTATGTTCCTGACAGAAGTCCTAGCTGTTTATTGTGAACCAGCAATTGGATTTTGTGATACAACCAGAAAACCACTGATGTCTACAGGGCCAACCTGGGCACTGCATAGTCAAAATTGTTCTCCAGTGTTATAATATGGCATTGAGCAATCTTTAATTAATTATTAGAAAGAGCAGGAGACAGATGACAAGAGGTCATGCTTCAGGGAGGTTACACTTTGGACTTGCAAAAAGCAGCAGTGCAAATCTATAGATTTTTCATTTTATTAAGGGTCTGTCATGTGCCCCTTGATCCAATCCCTAAATCTCACAGTTTCAGCTTTGTCACCTGTCAAATACCCGAATTCACACTGAGCTCTACTTTACTTACGAGCAGTACTACTAAAGCTAGTGGGACTGCTTAGAGCAAGGTGCTACTGTGGTGAAGGTTCAGGAATTTGGCTCTTTCCAAGAAGTGAACTGCAAATGACTGAGGTCTCATGACACTCACAGGTGTTTGTGAAGGAAAAATAAAAACAAAAAAACCCACCCAACAAAAAAACAACAAAACCCAAAACATACTACCCGTGTTTTTCTCAAATCTGTCATGAAAACCAACACTTAAAAGACTGAAATGTGGGAAAAGGGCCCATTGTGCTCACCTATTTTGACACCAAGACAACCACAGTGGTTTAGGAGGGGTAGCCCACCCAGTAGAGGGTTTGGTTGGCCTGGGTTCTCCTCCCAGCTATGTCACTGCCTCTTACTAGATGATTGCATACAAGGGTACTTGGTCTCAGTTGGGATGGTGAAGCTCCCTTAGAGCAACTCCCCTCACACCATCCATGGTTTTACAGTTGCATCTCCTAGGAAAGAGGGAGGCAAGATAGGTCTAAATTCTTTTAAAACAATTAAGAAAACCCAATCTCTAGTAAAAGAACAACAACAATTTGCTATCACAATCTTGTAGGAGTCGTCCTAGAACTTCTCTCAACCCATTCCTTCAGTAATAGCTATGAAGGCCAGGTCGCTGGAAAACCCTGCTGCCAGATTGGAGGTAAACCAGTACATCCAATGTTTAATATTCAAAGCCATCCTTTGCATGAAACCAGTTATGCAGAAGTGTTTTGGCTGCATTTTTAGGTACTCCTCCTAGCCCACTTCACTTCCCTGCTTGGAAGCTTCTTCAAATAAATGCTGGAAATGCCACTTCCCTGTAGTTTAAAAAAAAAAAATGGGGAAAAAAAAAAGACACAAAAAACACACACCATGGAATGAAATTATTTCTTGTAAAACATTTTGTTTTAAAAGTTATTGGTACAACTCTCTAACTTGGTTTAATTAATGTGCAGTTTAAAACATATAAAATGCCTTACTACCTAAATGATTTCTTGGTTTTTATAAGTCTCCCTCCCCCCATTAAAAAATAATGCATGTCTGGACTGGTATTGAACACCTTGTACAGAGTCGCACGCCAATTCTCCTTTAATTCTACATGAAGCAGTTTTGATTTTAATCTACTGTGTTTAGAGAAGAGCTCATACTGTATACTTCACAGTATAACCAGCTACACAGATGTCTTTAATCTTGTAACACGAATAAAAAAAAAAAATCACTCTAAGTTGCAGTCCCTTTGATAAATGATTATGGTGATGCATGCAGTCCTCCTCAGTGCCGCTGCCGCCAGACACGGGACATGATTTTCTCCACACGTTGCCGAGAGGCTTGAGGCCGCACTGCTGGGGGCCACGGCCGGGCCGATGCGCCGCCACCCCGGTGCGCAGTGTTCTGCAGTCATTGGGCAAAGCTGCGGTGAATTGTCTCGCTCAACACCACCACCACCACCACCACCCACCGACCCGACCCAACCCCCAGGGGAGCACACTCCCAGCCTCAGCCACAGGAGATCACTGTGAAACGCTTGGAAATGCAGGACATGTTGTGGAGGACAATGCCCAGGAGAAAGACCAGGACACAGGCCACCAGGATCACAGTGCAAACCCCTGACCAAGTGGAGCTTTTCACAACACCTCTCCTGTCCGGCTCCTCTATTCCTCCCTCGGCAGGAAGGCCACCCTGCAGCGGCTGCTGCTCCGCCGGGATCGTCACCACTGCCAGGGACTTCTGCTGGCTGCCCGGCAGGAGGCGGCAACCAATGTCTCCCGGCAGCAGCGCCCTCTCCTTGGAGAGGGGCAAGGGCAGCATGTAACACCCATTGCTGGGGAGTTTGATGAAGACTGGAGTGTGCTCTGAGGTGTGGGGGATTGCAATGACGGCGATCACCTCGGGGTCATCGGGCAGCTGCGACACAGAGTACCCCGGCGGCAGCTTGGTGATCCCACGGCACCAGGGGCAACGCAGGTCCTTCTGGCTGGTCCTCATCTGCTGCAGGCACACCGAGCAGCAGGTGTGCTTGCAGTCCAGCAGCTTGGGCCGCCGGCGGGGACTGTAGTAGTTGAAGCAAATCTGGCACTCCAGCAGAGAGTCCTGGGACAGGGTCTCCATGGTGGCTGGTGCAGAAAGGTACAGCAGGCTTCGTGAGGAGCCCCACTCCAGCACCCTGCAGCCGGGGGGGGGGCAGCCTTCCTGCTGCTGCTTCTCCTCAGGGCAGCACTGGGCAGCAGCTATGGAGAGTGCAGGAAAACCCCCAGCCTGAACCTTTCAGTACCTGAGACAAACATAAAAATGTGAAGGAACAAGTTAGTTACAAGAACCAGTGGGAACAAAGAGTTCAGCTAAGAGGGAATGAAAACTAGCGCTGACCTTGTAATCTGACAGGAGAAACAAATTTGCAGCCCTTAACAAGAAAGCATCTTCCCACTGGTTTCACCAAACTGCCCAGCAGCAAACATTCAGATCAGCCATCACTAGATCTCTCTTTTATTTCTTTTTTTCTTTGGCAGCTATAAAATTTCTACCAATCCATCAGTGCGCCACTCACAGATATATTTATACACATAACAGGATAGGCTGTAGTTCACTAAGCAGGTCCTTCAGCATCTACCTCCTGTCATATTTTCAGGACTTTTCAGCCCTTCCTGCACCTTAACAATTATTCTCATTTAATCCTTTAAACCCCTGAGGATTTTTAGCTATTTGGCTCAACCACTAAGTCTGAATGAAAGGTGGGGGAAAGAAAAAGTAAGTTAAAACGGATGCATTTCCACAGACTCCTGAACTCATGCTTGCGCATGAATGAGCAACCAAGTAACTGTACTGAAACACCCAGACTTGTGCACAATAAAAAGGAATGGCATCGTTTTCAGTCGAATTAACTGTTTGACTGGTTACAGGAGCAGCTTGTTGAACATGAAACAAACCTTCTCACTGATGAAAACCTCACCCAAGACTCTCGTTTAGACTCACACCTGGCTCTGTTTAGACCCAGGAACACCAATGCCACAGAGAACAATCTGTTAATGCACTGAATTAAAGGCAAATTGGCATTAAACTTGTTCTGAACTATTCAACATAAAGAGATTCTTTTCATTTCCCCAATTATTTCTTATAGCTATGCAAAAAAAATTCAGCTGTGTTTACTTTCACAGTGAGTTGTTTAGCTTTGCTTGATTTTGGTCGCTCCAACACATGATAAATATGAAGGGGGTGATATTTTTACAGCTTTTTACACTGCCTTTCTTGCTGTATTTGAAGAAGTATCAGCCTGAATTTGCATCCAAAGAAAACCAAAAATATCTGCACCGTGATCTTGATCTTCTCTTAGTGCAATGTTATTCCCAAAATAGCACCTGAGGACCACAGCTGTCAGAGGAATTCGTCCTTTCCATACAATTATTTCTTGCTCTTCCCTCCAGATCACAGCAACTAAGTTGCAACATGCTAATCGATGGGTGATGTCAGTAAAACAGAAATAACGTCATTCAGGAAGAGAAGGCAGGCATAGATGTGGGGTTTGCAATGCAGGACAGCCCTCTGGACCACACTGTCCCATAGCCTGCTTCTGGCAGTTACTGTTATTTGAATAAGGAAAACAAAATACACATCACCTCTTCAGATGGACATTGGCAGAACTGGCCCTGCTGCTGACTTTGCAACAGCAGCGGATTTTGGCTCACAAGATGCTTCAACAAATACATAGTGACAGTCCTGACTCAGGAGGGAGCAGGGGCTGCAGTTACAAAGGCAGAAGCTTGTGAAACACATGCAACGGTTGCGGGGGAAACAGCACGTGCCAGCTGCGTGAATGGCACTTTTGGGATGTTTTCCCTGAACACGGCACAGAAGCCACCACTGGGTCCATGTGGCACCTGCTCTGCACTGGCACCATATTACATACACATAGGGTTAAGAGATACTCCACTGCCACAGAAGGGGCTATGCATTCACTGCCCACCTGCCTGATGCACACCAAGGGAAAGTGCAAGAAAATGTGTAGAGTTTTTATCTTCTTTATCCTCTCCTTCCTGTTACTATCCCCATATCCCTATGGTACAGGCAGGCACAAAGGGAAGACTGTCAGAAGGGGTCATTAAAAGACTAGCGTTCAGCTGACAAGAGAAAAATGGAAGAGAGCTATCCACAATCGTAGAAAATTTTTAGAGAAAGCCCCAATGCCTGGAAATTCAGATGGCCTATGTTTAAAAACAGAGTGGAAGCACTCCTGCAGATGTAAATCAGTACTTCTGCACAGGAGCTCTGCCCTCTACATTTTGGATGTCAATGAACTGAACTGGTGAAGTTCTCTGATCTCATTTTGATGCCACCTAAAACCATTCTCTCTCCACTTACAGTGCTAAAGGTAAACCAGTTTCTATGGATGTGATTGGGATCAAGATAATTTTTCTGACCACATATCTTTATCCAGGAGTCATATATACTCATGCACTATTAAGTCCCTCATCACTGTCCCAGTGACATCCTTACTGTAAAAGATCAGTGCTAGGAAAGAATGAGACGAGGTATTCGGAATGGAGAAATATAACAAAAGTCACCTCCAGGCAAACAGCACCCTAAGGAAAAAGAAGAAATCCATCCCAACAAGATCTAGGCTGGTTTGAACACTAGGTAATGCTGAGAAGCATTTTTCCAGGAAGTCAAAGTTTTACATCATTAGTGCAATCTGTAGGAAGAAAAAAGGAAAAGAATGAAGCCAAATTAAAAGGTTAGGATAGGGCTTACCACCTGCATGACACACATTGTTCAGATATGCATGGATATATTTGCAAAAGCTGAAAATATAGTGACAGCCCCATTTGATTTGGTGCTGAATCAAGGCAACAGTGACTTCCAACTGTTGTGTCAAGTTATACTTTTTTTCCCCCTTCCTTTTTTTTTTTTTTCCCCTGAAAGAACAACTACAAACTATTTCAAGTACAAGGTTGCATTGTGCATATACCTATACTGAATTATGACATTTCTTACCTTCCCAAATGTCTCAAATTATGATCAGAGGTGTATTTTGACAGATCAGTGGTAACACAACTGGTAAGCAGAAAGGTTAGTATGATTCCTTCAGAATTTGTCTAAAGACAAGTTAAAGAGTAGCCACAGCCACCTACCTAATCCCTTGGTCTCTGCTGACACTGTCTTGTTCAAAGGTTGGGCATGGACCTTCATGGGTGCGATGTAACCTTATTCCCAACCATACCGAGAGCCCCACAACCCTCCTGCACTCTGCCACAGCTCAGCTTGGGGATAAAAGAAAGTCAAGCCGTCATCTACAGTCAGAATTAAACTGCATAAGATCTATGTGATTCATTTTGCAGTACGTGGTTAGGAAGGAAAAAGCCACAGGAGCTCTCTCATGCCAATTCACTTTAATAATGATGAGAAGATTTAATACTGCAACAGACCTCCTCTTGGATAGGGGACTGAACTCTCTAGTTTGTGATCAATGCACACCCAGATCAGTTGGAGGTACTGAGCTATCACAGGTGAACCTTGCTCAAAGCTTACTCAGACCGGATTTTTTTTATGGCACTTTGAGCACAAAGACCAAGAGGGAGCTGGGCTGCACACGAGAGCACAGCTTACAGCAAACATCAGCCAAAAACATTGTTTTGTTGTTATTTGCTCTCAGCAATGCCCAAGGGGGGAGGAGGGGACTGCTGACAGGAAAACAGGGTGGGGAAAAATCAGAAAAGACTGTCAGGGATATCTGTAGGTGTCCATAAAAGAGACAGCGTATGTAAGTGTGGATAGGGGCACACATGTGGAAGGGAGGGCTGGGGACTATGACAGTGAAACTATACACACAAACAGACAACTGTGAGCAGTGATTCTGCCTCGCACAAACCTGACAGCAACTGGAAGTTCTTCAGGGCCAAGATCTAACAAGTAACACAAATAAAACCTAACTGTCTATTAAAAGTCCAGAAGCTCCAAAACTCAAGTGTCAGAAAGGTGCAGCAGGAGCAAAGGAAGGAAAAAGAGACAGGCCTTGAAAAGAAGACCTCTCTGCCTCCTCTACACTCTCTTCCCCTTGCTGTGGGTCTGCCCAACATCCACAGGGCTGCTGCTGGCCAGTCAGACAAGAGATTCACAAGCAGTTACAGAGATCCAGGGATGAACCTGCAAAGCTGCTGACCCCTGCAGCAGATGATCAAAGTGCAGCTGGATGGCTGAGAGCACAGCACAAAGGTCCTCCTTGCAGATTTGGGCTGCCCTCTGTATGAGCCAAGAATTTTTAGGATTTGAGAAATGATTGTGTGACTCGAGCAATAAATGTCTGGAGAGAGTAAAACAAGTATTTCAGCTGTTTGTCAGTCATGCTATCTGTTCTGCTAGTACCTTGCTGGAAGCTACAGCAGAGCCTCAAGCTCTTTTTCTGGGTGAGCAGGAGGCCAGTAATGCCAAGGTATCAGCTTCCTATTCCCCAAGAAGGGGGATGGAACATTCGTTGCTCTTTTGAAATTTGTAGCTTCCCAAGCACCACATAGGGAGGTACTGCAGGGGGTAAACAGATGAAGGTTGCTGCAGCTAGTATAGCACAGCTACAGACAGTGAGAAGAAGAAAGCCCAGGTTTGCTGCAGAGAAAGCTTTGCAGAAACCCTAACTATAAAGTGGTCCCCAACTGGCCAGCTCAGAAAATACAGCTGGTTTTGGAACCCAGTGCAGAGAAAGACACTGAACATCCATGAGGGGAGTTGGACAAGTCAGAGAACAGAGTAATGGCAAACCCTTGCCTACTGACATAATATTTTTTTTCTATGTAAGGACAGCCCCAGTGGTACTAAGCAATGGAAGCAACAGCCTTAAAGGGGTGCTGCCTCCATGGGAGAAACTATCTTCACACATACCTTCTAACGTATTAGGGCCCAAAATTATATTAACCTGAAAGCCCTGAAAATATGCTTTAATGATACCCATGGTATCTAATACAATTCACAGATGATTAAACATCATATCACATTTTTAAAGACTGGCTTCAGGGCATGCTGATGTAGTTAGCTGATCACTGAAAGAAAGCCTCAAAAACTTTGCACAGACTTATGCATGTATTTAGGCATGCTCTACTTGCTGTATATCAAGGTTAATAACAGACTTCCAGCAAGGCATTGACGATACTTCACCTTTCTCAGGAAGGTTTATTACGTAAACTCCCCAAACACATTATGAATTCTTTGACAGTATTACTGAGTATGTATGATTTATGATGAAGAAAGATCCATTCATTTCAGGTGCCCTTAGGCTGGAAAGGAGATTGGGTTGGGGGTGTGGGTACTGTTCTCAATAAGGGAACTAATTGCAAAAATCATCTGCCCACAGATATGGAAGAAAACATGTGCTAGAGTTGCTTCAAACTGATAGTGAGAAGGAAGGAACATATTTAATATTTAGACAGATTTCTGCTACGAAATTCAGCATCCATGCATGTTTTCATCAAATTCATGTTTGGACAAAACACACTGGGGCTTTTGAAATGCCCAGGATGTAGTACCTGATTTCCCCTGAATATCCTTCACTAAATGATGCTATTTATTTTTAGGCTGTTCTGTAGCACTAATTACCATAGTAACTAAGAACAGCACAACGAATAATTAATTTATTCATCACAACACCCTTGTTAAGAGAAGTATTATCATCATTATCTCTTTTCATCAGCTAAGAAAAGAAGTGCTGAGAGATGAAGCAGTTGGCCCAAGGTCATGCAAGCACCACCCAGATTGCCTCTCACCTCATGAGCCACTGGGCAGAGGTGATAGATTCCTGACAAATTCGTTTTTGTAACAGAGAATCAACAAAATTCAGAAACCCACCCATTTCTCCCCATCTTCCAGATGGCAGCATCTCCATGGTATGCCTGAGATTTTTTGTGGCTTTCATTGAATTTACCAGCTTTTCCATAGACCATGAAAATTACAAGGGCCTGTGATCTCCATGGACACTGTTCATCCACCATGTAGATTACAACTGAGAGGCTATATGCATTTTGAGGGCCAAAAAGCTAGCAATACAACAACAAAGTTCATCCATTCTTCTCTCCAGAATTACCTATTTTCCAGGCACCTTCCTCTAAGCCAGGCAGCCTACACCCACCATTCTTTCTGATCATTTGTTCACAATTGCACAAAAATATTGCAGAACAAAAGCATTTTAACTTGGCCAAATCCTTAGCCAGTGCAAGCTGGCACTGTTCCTTTAGCCAAGACGAGAATCAGGTGTACACACTACCAGATCATAAAGCCACAAGAAACAAAGCCAAGTGAAACTGTGATATATGACCCTACAACATCCTATGAACCGGCGCCAGAGTATCCATGCTGATGGAGAGACAGTGTGCTCTGGATGATCTCAACAGGGCAGATCAAACAGGACAGCAGTTGTCCTGCCTCTCTGGCAGCTGAGCAATCAGAGGTGGATCACAAAAAAAGAGCCTAGCTGCAAGGTAACATCCCACAACATTTACCTTAGAAACTGTCACCAGCTAGCCCTAGCAAAAGGAGACAGAGGCAAAAAGGTCACCCACAGGAATGTAACTAGAAGTTTATGGGTTTGGAGCAAAACCAGGTGAGGCGAAAACACCAAGCTTTGGTGCTTATAGAAAACAGAGAGAGACTCACATGCTGCTCGTTGTTCCATCTCACGTCCCCAGCTGCGCTGCTCCCTCCTTTTATCTGCAAACTTTGACACGTCCACATTCCCTGGCTCCAAAGACCTTATTTTGGTCAAATATGACCAGGATAAGCTGCACTTTGTTCCAACAGCAAACACTACTAATCACCTGCAACGTGCCAGGTCAGCAAATGACGGGTACAGTTTCTTACTGCTGAGTCAAAGCAGTACAACTACACTCATCAGACAGTTTCATGCAAGGTGCTCTACCACTATCTGAAATCAAAATATTCCACAGAAATGTGCCCATTTCAGACAGACTTCAGAGAGCATACAGCTTTCCTGCCCACAAAGCCCCTCAGCAGCCCTCCATGCGGGTGGTCCTGAAGCCCAGGCGGTGGGAGCCTGACCTGCTCCTCACCAGCCCAATTCTGACACGTCTGGAGCTTTTTGACAAAAACACTTGTCAAGCTGCTACAGAGCTGCAGTTCCCTAAATCTCCCAGGCTCCCTTCAGCCTGGCACAGCACAGGGGACCCCCAGGTGCAGATCATCCCTACTAGGAGTGTGAAGGTATTCCTCACCACTTCTGCTCTCCGTAAGTCCTAGTGTTTCTCTTCCTGCACGAGGGGTGTGCTGACAAGATGAGAGACCTAACTGTGGTCCTAAGATATCCCAAACTTGAAAATTCCCCCACAGAGGATATTAAAAGGTTCCTCCCACTGTGCAAATAAACAAAATATCCAGCATTCTGAGCATCCCAAGGGATGGTGCTTATTTCTACAGCCTCCTCTGAGTTCAACACTTGCAGGGCCATTAGCACTTCTTCAGTTTTGTTGGCTGCTCTTAATTATGCCTGACTCACTCCTAAACCCCAGGGTGAAAGGAATTAAAAGCCAGGTTTTTCTGCATAGAAGTGAGACCCATTTGCTATTCAAACTGAATCAAGAGGAATGGGGCTGAGAGGGGTGGTGTGAAAAGAAATCTACCCCTCACCTCCTGAATAAAAGCAGCACCAGTAGTTATTTATGACCAGGACATAGGGAGTAGGCGGTTAGCAAAGAC